GACGATGGAACTAGTACAGCGGAACTACTGGTGGCCAGGGATGTCGACGTTTGTCAAGAAATACGTTGACGGATGTGCAACATGTCAAGAAACGAAAATCAGGAACAACCCGACCAAGGAACCGATACACCCGACGGAGATACCCGAGTACGCATTTCACACCATTAATATCGACTTTGTAACGGATTTACCGTTATGCAAAGGGAAAGATTCAATCTGTGTTATCACAGATCATCTCTCCAAGAGCATGATTGTAGAACCGTGTACGAAGACGATAAATGCGGATGAAACGGCGGAAATCATACTGCGAAGAGTATTCAGCCAACGCGAAATATCCAAGAAGATCATCTCGGATAGAGGACCACAATTCGCATCAAGAGTTATGAAAAGTATACTTACCGGAATGGGAGTTAGGTCGGCGCTATCCACGGCATATCACCCTCAAACGAACGGAGCGGTCGAAAGACTGAATCAAGAACTGGAACAATACCTGCGGGTGTTCTGCAACCGAAACCAGAACAATTGGGTAGAACTGCTACCATATGCAGAACTGTCACACAACATCAAAGAGCATGCGATTACCAAGAAGTCGCCGTTTGAAATACTGAATGGCAGGAAACCGGAATGGCCGACAGCCTTCAGGGCACAGGGCAATATGCAGTCGGCAGAAGACAGGATAAAGCAAATAAACGATGCACGACAAGAAGCACAAGCAGCAATGAAGATAGCCGCTGATTCGATTCAATTGAAAGAATCGATACACGGGATCACAGGACCGCATTTCAAGAAAGGCGACGAAGTATGGCTTGAAGGGAAGAACCTCAAGAACAATTACCCAACAGCCAAGCTGGCACCAAAGCGATTCGGGCCGTTCAAGATAGAAGACGAAGTAGGAACCGGTGCATTCAAGCTGAAACTACCCAGGACATGGAAGATACATCCTGTGTTTCATACATCGCTTCTAACACCGTACACGCGGACGAAAGAATACGGCGAGTCACACCAGAAA